AAGTGTTTAGAATGACAAATGGTGTCACACCCCTGTGGACTGTTGATTGTGGTTTCTCCCTCTGTGTCCATATTGGGTTATTCCTGTTCTCATTATTGTGGGTGTTGGTGTCCTGAAAGTCTCTTCTGACCATGGACATCGCGGACAACAACACCAGCCCCACTCGGGACTCAGAGCCCAGTCAAGGAACACTCTGCGGCGCATAGCTGCCCGAGCCCATTGCAGACGGAGAGCCAGAGCCTGCCGCGGTTGTTGAGCCATCGACCATCAGGAGCGACAGAGCTGACGATCGCCCTGGAGCCTGAGCCCCAAATGTCTGACCAGGTGCGAGAGCCGACAGCACATGCAATGGTGGATAGAGCTGTGGAGATCGCGGGGGCAATGGAAAGCCCCACCCATGGCGCCATCGCTGGAGGTGAGCACAAACTGGACCTGGGAGATTTAATAGACTTGCACTCAGAGATACCCGTCCTTCAGTTTTCACCCGACCTGTCTACCTGGGAAAATATCCCACCCAACCTCCCTCTCCCGCCTCCTCTCATTGACCTGTTCCCTTCCTCAACCAACACCCTCTCCGCTGGATCCCGTCAGCCTCTCTGCTCACCCTCAGCTCACCATATGTGGCGTGGGCTCGCCGCTGGTCTGCCTATCTCCAGCTCCATTGGCGTCGAGTCTGGAGGATCCCTCGACTCCGCCTTCAGCCTCCGAGGCCCAGACTCAACCTCGGTCCTGCGACCCAGCGGCTCCACCATGGCTCCTAGCTCCCTCATCTCCACCATGGCCCGTCAGTCCACCAGCCCCACAGGGCTCCATCGTCCCTCCGGCTCCGCCTAGATCAGTCGTTGACCATCCGCCGCCTCGGGTCTCCACTCCTCTGGCTCCGCCTCATCCCTCCTTCCCTCAGGCTCTGTCAGGCTCCTCCTTCCCTCTGGCTCCACCTCAGTCCTCTGTCGCTCCGGATCCACCGCGGCCTTCCGGATCCCCGTCTCTGCCTTGGTCGCCGGCGCCATCTGCTCCGCCTTGGCCCTCCGAATCCTCGGTTTCGCCCTGGCTCATTGGCTCTCCATCTCTGCCTCGGGCTCCTCCACCACCTGCTCCGCAGCCGTTGGTTGGCCCCCTGGAGTTGTCAGCCCTTCCTCCACCATGGCTCCTCCCTCCGTCGGCTCCACCGTGGGCCGCTATCATGGCTGTGGCCTGGGACCCACCTGGCTCCTTTTCCTGCTCCGTTTCCCTCCTGTCGTCTCCCTGGCTCTTCCCTCCGTCATCACCATCCTGGACTCTGTTAGTCGTCCTCCTCCTGGGAGTCCATCCTCCACCGGAACCTCCACCTGTCTGGTCTGCCTACCAGCCCTTTGCCTTCCCCTGTCCCCATCCCACATCCACTCCTTTGTCCCCCTCCGTCCCTCCCTCTGTCTCCACGGCGCGAGGATGCGCCTTCTGGGAGGGTGGCGATCTGTCACACCCCTTTGGACTGTTGGTTTTGGTTTTTCCCTCTGTGTCCATACTTGGTTATTCCTGTTCTCATTATTAGTTAATCACCTCATTGTGCTCACCTGTCTGCCCTCGTTTTCTGCCCTATATCAGTTCCTGTCGATTGTGTTCTAGTTTGTCGGTTATTGTGAATGTTACCTTGCGTGTGTGTTCCTGACCTGTTTGGACATTACCTGTTGTGGAATAATTAAAGTGTTATTGGAATTATTCGTCTTCATTGTCCCACCACATCATCTCATGACAAATGGGAGGGTAAAAGATTCATTTTTGGCTGAACTATGTCTTTGAATAAGAATAACAGAGAAACACGAGATGTTTTTTTTTTTTAATAGTCTTGTTTGCAGCCGACAGCTAAAGGATCTTGTTTTTTCTTTTCTTTTTTCCCCTCCTTTTCTCCCCTCCACCCCCTCCAAGAACAAATTGATGTTGCTCACTTCTCCCCAACATAATTACATGCTTGGGCCTCCAATTTTCTGTTTTAATTCCTAAAGAGCAGAACTGAATGCCACATCGTTATCTGAGGCAATCTGGTGGCAGCCATGAAAGGCGACATTATCCGAGCCGTTCATGGAGGGAAATTACAATATGGAACTCTTCAACTCACCGCACTATGCTCTGCCCAAAGCCTGTCCCTCTGGCTTTTAAAGGGCATTAGCAAACTGTCACCCGGCGAGAGCCAGCCAGCTTAACTCTGATGCCCCATTCAGCAGGAAGGAAGAGGCCGCGAGATGGGCACAAAAGAGCCTGATTACTGTGGCATGGCTATTACAAGGCGGAGAGAGACTAGACCGTCTCGTCCCACCCTTGCCTGAAGGTTGACAAATGCATTAAACCAGTGGCCCGTGACCCATTTTTAAGTTTAAAAATTCTTGCACACTCACGCAAGTAACAATTTTATGCAAGTTATACGTAAAAAAAAATAAAAATACAAATCTCACAGTGCATTAATACAAATTACACTTCTGTTAAAGGTAGATTCTCTGAAAACCTATTAAGTAAAAAGTGTTAAAATATTAAGCAGTTGCAAAAACTTTAAATGTTGAAAAACTCTCAATTAATTTTGAATACCTCTGAAGTCAATGTTTCTCTTGAAATGTTCCCAGTGTACAATTAAGCAATGCTAAGCTTTTTAGTTTACTTACTCAGCATATTGGTGCTGAGATTTTATTTAACATATTTATGATCCTTGTTTCCACAAAACTGTGGATTTTACCTGTAGGATAATAGATGATCCTCAGCAGTTTGTTGATGGAATTATGCAAATGAAAGGAGGAGTTTATAGATAGTAATGCATGCGAGGCTTATAGATTTGTTTTGTGGGTGGACGGCATCTTTCAGGCTCAGTGACAAGGCCAAAGTGAGAATATGATTGCCTTTCTACTATCCAGAGATGAAACAGTGGCGGAGAGCAAAGCCTACCTTAACAATATCATCTTCAGCATTCAAATGAAGAGTGGCAGCTCGATAATTATTGCATGATGTAGCATATTACTTTTGGCCTTTTTTCCTCTTTGGGGACTGCATGCTGTGGTGTACAGGAATGTTGTTTTGATTAGTTACATTATTGTTTAACTGGACGGGAATAGTTTGATTTCGACCACATTTTTTAGAAGCATTGTTCTTGTAAATTGGCTTTAGTAAGCGTAGCCAGTGGTTTGTTTAATTTGTCGTGACGAAAACAGACGTACAGTTATGTACCTTGTGTCAATTGAAAATGCGTCTTTATAGTTCCAGTTAAAAAATAAAATAAAGAATCATATGACTTAGGAAACACCATTTGTAACCCATTTTGCTTTTGTAATGTGACGTATTTCTGAGTGGAGAATATGGCGTGATTAGAAGAGATGAGCCGGACAAATCATTTTAAATTCATAACCAATTTTACTTCTGTAATGTAATGTGTTTCCAAGTGAAAAGTAATATTTAACAAGAATATTATTCGGAAAAAATGCATAGAGGTTGACTACAATATTAATTTTTTTATTTAAGTGCGTGTGAGTGTAAGTGACGTGACATGTGGCCAAGTATGGTGACCCATACTCTGAATTAGTGCTCTGCATTTATCCCATCCAAAGTGCGCACACACACAGCAGTGAACACACACACGGAGCAGTGGGCAGCCATTTTTGCTGCGGCACCCGGGGAGCAGTTGGGGGTTCAGTGCCTTGCTCAAGGGCACCTCAGTCGTGGTATTGAAGGTGGGAGAGAGCTGTACATTCACTCCCCACCACCTACAATCCCTGCCAGTACAAGACTCGAACTCGCAACCTTTGGGTTACGAGTCCGAGTCGCTAACCATTAGGCCACGACTTTTCATTCCCAACAAATTAAATACGGCATCTGCTCTGACAGAAGTCTACAGGTGCATAGTGACGTTATTAGAAGAGGCGAAATATACAAACATGTTTACAGTGGGCAACAAAATTAGACCTATGAAAGGGCATTTGCAGCCAATTTTACTTCTGTAATGTGGCGTGTTTGAAAATAATATATAGTTAACAAAAAGGTAGAGAGGCCAGCTACATTATTTTTTTTATTTATTGATTTTGTATTTATTTTATTAAATTTTTTGTCTTTCTTTTATTAGAAAACACGAGACATTTCCAGTGGGCAAAAAAAATTGGACATGACCTATGAAACAGCATTCGCGACCCATTTTACTTCTGTAATGTGATGTATTTCTGAGTGAACAAGAATATTATTTGAAAAAAGGTAGAGAGGTCAACTACAATATTTGCTTAATTTGTATTAACTGCAATTAATTTATTTTTAATTAATTATTCTAATTAATTATCCCTTCCTATTATTATTATTATTTTTTTTATTTTTTTTTTTTAAATATATTTTTTTTTATTTTGTCATTGTTTTTGTATATTCCTAAATAGCTATTTTCATTCCCAAAAGACTGAATATGGTGTTTACTCTGACAAAAATGGATTGCACAGTGACGTTATTAGAAAAGACGTGTACGATACATGTAAGTTAGCATGTATGCATGAGGTACATTCTGGATCTAATGGTCATTTAGCCTGGATCTAAGAATATCCGCTTCAGGATAACGGTGATATATTCAGCCTTGATAGCTGTCACATCGTAAAGGAAAATGGGGGAGGAAAAAGAAGTTGCGCTGTCAAGGCCATGAAGAAAGCATCACCTTAAAGTTTGAAAGGGAAAAAATGAATACAATTAAAATTTTTTGCTCCGAACTCCAGGTCCCTTAAGGACTACAATAATATGTGCGTCGATCCCTCCATTAGAATGAGCCAGACCGACAGCTATTGAAATGCTTCGAGGGGGCTTGCGACAGCCCTCTGACTGGGAAGATGGACGCTTTCACTAAACATAGGTTGACACATTTTTCTCTTTTTCCGCTCTACTTTCTCCTCTACTCTGCGAAGCACTACCTATCCATCATGCCCCCATGTAGCCTGTGTGCTTCTAGTAAATGTTCTCTCTCTTTCTCTTTCTCCCTCTCTATTTTCAATTTTTTCTCTATCTCTATACGGCAGCTGATGCAGCAGCAGGCGGCCCTCATGGCTTCCAGTCACGGTGGCTACCTGGCGCCCAGCGTGGCCTTTCCCACCACCCAGATCCACCAGATGGGGGCGCTCAATATCAACAGCCTGCCACCCACCCCCATGACCCCGGTGTCGGGTGAGTTTCATCAGACACTGGGTGAGCAACAGTGCTTCATTTACTCTCTTTCGGGATGGAGTCTGAGTGTTACCGTCGCGTTAGTCTGACCGCCATAGTCAGTCTCAAGCTTACATAGACTTTAAAAGTTAGATTTCAGTCAGACTAAAGCTATAAAACCTAAACAGAAAACATACATTTTATAACAGATCTAGATAACACAGTTGTAGCTTGGCTTCACCCAGCATGTATTGTTAATTGCACAATAATTGGCCCTACATTGTGCACCAACTCTGAAAAGAGGTGAAGCGTGATGTGTATTTAATGTATTAAGTGTTCGAGTGCACACTTGTTATGTATACTTGGATGGACTAGTTTGACTATGCAAAAACCCACTTTAGCTTGATTGAAACTGTGCATGTAAGTGTAATTGTTCAAAAAGCACAAAACTGTACACAGTTACGTAATTTCATTTTTTTTGTACAATAGTTTGTGTTAAAACACTGAAAATACTGAAAAAGTTAGCGCAAATGTAAATATTTTCTTCTGAACGATTGATACTACAATAAAAAAACCTGCATTGTAACTGCACATGTAAACATGCTGTACATTTACATAGTGTTAAAAAGTCAGTACGCATTACTTTTGGACAGAAAAAAAAGCACAAAGACTATACACAATTCAAAGGGGTCCTATTATGCTTTTTCACTTTTTCAACTTTAGTTAGTCTGTAATGTTGCTGTTTGAGCATAAAAAATATCTGCAAAGTTACCAAGCTCAAAGTCCAATCTCCAAAAGAAGATATTTTATTTAACAGAAATCACTTTTCAAAAGTGTAGTTTGGACTACAACGCATATTTTCCGGGATTTGTGATATCACAAATATCCACGAATGGGACGAGACCTGGTTGAGCTGCACTAGAGAAGGCAACGAGTGTTATCACTATGTCGGAGACACGCTAGCTTTCCCAAGGCAGACGAACTTAGAGTGGTTACAATCATCTGGGTTTAAATCGCGCTCAAATTGATTTGATTTTGACACAATATTTATTCTGAAGCTGCAGCAGACGGCTATGGTAAGGGGCATGACGTTTCCCGACCAGGCGCCGAGTGCTGCCAATCACAACACACACTGGCCCAGCTAACCAACCAATCAGTATTTCAGAAGGCGGGCCTTCATTTGATACAGGAACTATTCGAGCCGTTCATGCCAGACTGGGGAGGGAGGTGTTGTAATAATGTAAAATATGTGGAAAAATTATGTGTTTTTCGAACAACCGTATGAGAGCCTGTTCTAGTACACCCCCAAAACAAAATCAAGACTTTGTAAAAGAGCATAATAGGACCCCTTTAACAAATTTCTGCAGTTTTCTTGTCCAATCATTTGTGTTCAACTGCAGAAAAATGAGCAGAATTGTGAATAGTGTAGTTTTAGTCATTTAAAAAGTCAGTACACATAGCTTATGGGTGGATAGAAGCAAAGCACAAAAACAATACACAAATGCGTGAATTTTTTTATTTTTATGTACAACTGTTTTTGAAACCAAATAAAATTTATAATTAGTGGGAGTGTGAATAGTCTGAGGTTTTGTTCTGAACTATACCTGATACCACTAAAAAAAAAAAAAAAAACTTTTATAACTGCACATGTAAATGTACTTGCGGTCTATTCACATCGTTTTGTGTGTGTTAAAAGTAAGTACTTTACTTTTAGATTAACAAAAGAAAAACGCAAAATAAATGCAAATTTCTTCCGTTTTTTTGTATGACGTTAAACTCCAAAAAAAAAAAGAATAGAATAGTCCTTGAGATTTTGCTCTGAACAATCATTGATACGAATTGGTTTTGGCAACGTAAACATATTTGTAGTTTTCTGTTTATTAAAAAATCAGCATGCATTACTTTTTACTTTTGGATTAACAGAATGAAAGCACATAAACTATACATAATATCACAGGGTTTTTTTTGTACAACCTTTTGTGTAAATAGTCTTTGAGGTTTTGTTCTGATACCACAATAAAAACATTTTTGTGCCGTTTTTTTAAATGGGATATTAACTATTTCAATAATTAATGCAAAATTGCTTCTAAACTATGTAACCAAACCAAATGTGCTGTCATAAACCAAACCAAACCAAATGTGCTTCCATAATTGAGCTGTAGTGAACCAGATTTCATGCCGGTAGTCAAAAATCGACGCGAGATGACCGTCACATGGGCAGACGTGGAATTGCAGTTTCACATGGGAGATTTGTTGGAATATACTATAACATTCCAAACCAAGCACCACATTTCACAAATCAGCTCATCTCATGTCACATTTGAAGTTACAAAAACACCCATGCTGACATTTCCTAAATGGCATGACAGAATTGTGGTTTTACTCGTCCTCAGACAGCTTTGATAATCAGGACACGACTACTCTGATTTTCATTCCCAACACCCCGTTATCACACAATCTAAACAAACAGGAGATCTTATTGGATAATGGCCACCTTACAGCATTTGCTTATGCAGCAGTATTGTACTTTTCCAATCCCTTCTGAAAACATGGCACCCAGTGAATTATGCTCATCGTTTAAACAAAGCTCATTCCTCTGTTGTCTTCAGCACTTCTGTACCAATTTACACTACACACCACGACACCGGACAATATAATTTGTCATTCCCGGTAAAGCACATAGTTTTGGCAACATATGAGTAACTTGCAGCTAACTGGCCGGCTGATTTCGAAGCACGTTTTTAGTTTCGTGGCTAATTGACTGACCGTGGAATGACAAAACATTTGTGTTCTTATGCAAAGTTAAAACACAAGCTTTATTACCTGAGGGGCTGGAACAGCAAGACGCTCCCCTGGCATCACATATAGATTTAATATGGTTCCATCTTTTACAAGCCGCCATCCAGTCCCATAAAAGCCTCGTCCAATTAAAGCTCCAGAGCTGTCAAGCCGCACTCCTCTTCTGTGAGGCTGAGGCTATCCATGTGTGGCATTACATGCAAATGTACTTACTTGCTACTTCAAATATTAAGGCAGACAGACAGGACGGTTTGTCAAATGTTTTGTCAAGACGCATGCATTTTCCATCACGGATCATCCATCACTCACTGCATGTTTGTTTTAGCAGCACCTAAATTAGCAGTCCTAAAATTCACAGGACTGCAACTGTTATATTGAAAAATTATATGTTGATACTACAGCATAGTTGACTTTTTCACTAGGTATGAATGCCAATACTTACTTACCACAAAGTGCTGTGGTGGTACCATGGTAGAGTTATGGCATCAGATGATAATACTGTGGCACTGTAATATACAAATGGTATTTACATGTTACTCCAATGATACTTCAAATGTCCAAAGCATAGTTTTACCATGGTATATCTTACGTGCTAAAAACATGTATTATTGTAGTACCACATCAAAAAAAAAAAAAAAGTGGTATTACTATGGTAACTGTCACAAAATATAATATTACCATGGCGATGTCTATGATAATATCATAGTCAATGTCACTTAAACATAATGAGACTATCGCTAATGTCCATGAAACTATAGCAATGCCATGGTGTCACAAAACATAGAAGTACTGTAACAAGTGTCTGCAAAAACAATGGCAATGCCATTATGGTATAATGGTAAATGCTACAAAAACATTGTATTACCATGATAAATACTCATGAAATCACACTATTACCTTAATAAATGTCACAAAACATAGTCAATTTTTATAAAACCATAGATACACCATGGTAAATGTTCATGAAACCACAATATTATCATGGTAAATGTCACAACACATACTGTAGTATGACCATGGCAAAGATCTATAAAAGCATGGTAATGCCATGCTATTTGTCACAAAAACACGGTATTACAATGGTAAGTGTTCATGAAACATAGCAAGTCTCATACAAACATAGTATTACCATGGTAAATGTCAATAGACCATGGTAATCTCCTGGTATAAGTCCCGGGTATTTTAATGGTACAGGTACTACTAAAATGGCTGCAATATAACAAAGAGTGAAAAATTTAAGGGGGTCTGAATACTTTCCGTACCCACTGTATATGCCAATAACACTGGTACTAATGTTTGGTTTTGTTTGGGGGTTTTTTTGGACGTGTACCTTAGAATTCTTGTAAGTACCTTGCTGTACCATGTAAATACCATGTTAAATGTCCATAAAACCACAGCACCTCATTTTTTTTGCTATGTTTTTCTTCCTTGCAAAAATGTTCCGTCTCTGTATAAAACAACCGCACTCATATGTTTGGATTTTATCCTCTTTGACTGGGATCAGTGTCATATTAACATGCAATGCAGCTGCTGGGGTGAATTGGCCTCTCTTACACTGACTTAATTGAAAGAGACTGGCGGAGCTGCGCGGATCTCCTGTGGACACGAGATGTGCTGAAATATGTGCAGCGTTGCTCATGCTCTTGCGTACGTGTGTGAGCTCTGCTCTACTGATTGCCTTCCATTATTGAACCTATTGGAATCTGTTGCATTATTAATCCTAGGCGAGATAGAACAGCTGGCGTTAAAAATATTCCAAGGACTACAATAAATAAGATATTCATACTTTATTTTTTTTCTAGTTCATTCATTCATTTGCATCTCTCTGGCAGGCACAGCACCTCTGGTTTATTCAATACATCTGCCTGTGTGCACACACACACACACACACACACACATTCTTATTGGTTATGATTTGTGTATAGAGCATTGTGGAAGCACGGACTATCCACCTTATTTTTCGACACAGAAGTAAGCTGTTTTCTGTGAATGTGCGAGACTTCCGCTCTTATGGGAAAAATAAGACGGATACAGGAATCTGGTTGGATATTAAGAGCTAATGTTGCCAGAAAAATATTGCGGGCCGCCTTCAGTTTCTGTTTGAATAAACAGAATAAATGTTTTTGGATCAGGCTTTAAAAACGACCGAACAACTGATCTATTGTGATGCAAAAAATGCCTTCTAACTTCCCTTTATCATGAAGTGGTTTTTAGGGAATTGT